CAAACCAGGACATGAAGCGTTAATTCTCGATAGAGTGCAAGTGATATCAAATGATGCGGCAATTGTCCAAAGCATGTCCGCCGGTAATTTAGGGCATTGCCACCTGTAACTCGTGGAATGAGGGATACATATTCGCATGCATGTTCTGTTGCTGGTTGGATCCTGAGAGATAAGGTGTTTCAGGTGGTAGTGCTTGGCGGTCAAGATGTGATATCGAAACAGGTGCCTGTTGTATTTCACTGTAAAATAGCAGATAAACGTGAATAAATGTGAGTTTGACAAACGCTCTCCAAGTAGAAATTTTGTATAAAAAGAACATATGACAAAGGATAGCTCATTAGAGATTTAAGCAATTTGTGTGTACTGCATCGTAATAAAACCGAATTGGAGCATAAAGTGGCAGTCTGGGTAGTGGGCGCGCCTTGATACCCGGATAAGCGCGAACGACAGTGTCCACATTGTCCCCGCAGTAGGGGTGCTGATGGATACCGACATATATATATCTCTCTCTCATCTCTCACACATCTGGACGGAGTCAGGAAGACCAGACGTGGGATCGGGCGCATCCAAATCTGACTACATCGGAAACTTGTCAGGCGTAATGGATATTTATACAGAAAACGCTTGGTCATGGCCAAATTCCACTGCCCAGTTTTGAGAGCTACGTCGGCACAAAAAAATGCATAGCAGCATATTCGAAAGAAACTTGCGACAGATTTATTGAAATAAGTCGATCCTGCCGTGAGATAGGCAAATCGAAACACGTTGTATAATTAATGTAAAATCAATTTGGCCTACGTTGTCGCAATTAGTATGACTTCGGTCATTAAACAATACGTGTCATTAAAGCAGTAAGCAATCGCACATTTTCGGTGCGCAGTACCGTGTGCACCCAAGATTGTTCTTCCCAGTCCACCCAGTGAATCACATGAGTTGGAGGACGCCTATGTAGTTTATTGAGGAGATATGATCATTGCGGTTGCGGTAATTGGATGCCGTTGGAGAAGCGGCCGGAAAAGCGTGGGTGATATGAAACCCAATTGTCCGTTATGCAGACGCTTTAATTTTACATGCAAAATGTTGTCTTGAATGCACGTGTAACGATGGGTAGAGTTCAAAATTAAAGCCACAATATTCGGCTTTTTCAAGCATAAACTGGACGCGATTTTTAACCACTTGACTACAGGAAGGTATATTTTTCTTGAATGTTTTCTATAAAATATATTTGAATTTGTAATGACATCGAAAATGAGGGGAAAATGCAGACCAACTCAGTAGTTCTTCTAGGCAGGCGGGTGAAAAGAAGCTAGTTCGAAATTCGTCATCCAGGCGTGAATGTAATATCACAGGATCATGTAGCAAGATGGTTAATATTATAACCGTACTTGAGTAATTTTTGAATCAAGGACAATTTGCAGAATTTCGGTTAATATTTCAATAGATAGCACATCTAATGTTTTAGCTGCTTTTGTGCATTTCCATGGACTTACAATTGGCAAAGTATAACAGCCTGGAGAGGGCGTCTTAGAGCCAAAAAACGAGAAGTTATTTTGGATGAAATTAATGATGGATATGGGGTACTTTCATCGCAAGATTTTGACCAAAGCCTGCATTTCAAATACCTTTTTTCTAGAGCAGAATGTCAAGCCCAGCTTATCAGTTGAGACCGAAAATTACTGTAGAGTAATCATTATTGTTGTTTTTCCAAGTTATTCGCAAACGCAAGTACTAAATGGCTTTTATGTACTTCTCGGTGGTGTGGTACGGTGAGAGAATTCGGTCACGAAACAGAATGCTGTGCCTAGGTGTTGACTGAAGACACATCTGAACTGATTCATGCGAAATAAAATCATCATTTATGTTTGCACTCATACAATCGCAGTTTCGTTTGCAAACAAATTAAAGCATTTCTGAAACTTATTATTACTGGCGATGAAATGTGATGATTATACGCACACAATTAGTAGGTATTACATACTTGCGGCTGTAAGACTGATTATCTTACAAATCAATCACATGACATTTCAGACACTTCAGAGTGTTGGATTTTGTGTGATCTGCTTTTCGGCAACCTACAGGAATCCTACTCGATAAAATGACAACTTAACTGGTAGGCATTTCCCCAATCACTCCTCGATGTCCTAGCAATTTCAAATATATTTCATAATAGTTCCTCAAGACATATCATTTATTGTACTCATTCGGTAGAAAATTGGAAGAAGGCATGATTTGCTTTCAAATAAGTACAAGAAATAGTATTTGTATGGAGTTTCTCCCTTACTCACTGACTTAATTCACGCGGGCATCGAACACCGGTAGAGGAAATGCACGATGTATCTGAGAATGCTAAGTGCAAATTTCAGACCAAACATCCTGCGTCTGCGATGGCCTTCGTCCTGATTGTCTCTGACGGCAAAGTCATGCCCGCTCTGTTCATCAAGGCGGGGGGGGGGTGGGGGGTGTCAAAGTGAACACAGACTAGTAACCGGATGTTCTTCAGAAACATATCAAGCCCTAGATAGATTCAAACCTGCACTTCAGACGACAATGTAGTCGTCCTTTAGGATAGTGAGCCTGCATATACGTCAGAGAAGTCGTAGAAGCGGCTGGAAGACCACATGCATTATTCCTGGCCCAAGGATATGTAGCCGTCATTATCGTCCCCTCAACATTGTCGCCGTCGACGGACTGAAGTCACTTCTAAGTGCATCCCCTCAATTTTGCCCAGATTAGGGCATGCAGACTGCAAGGTTATTTGCGTCACATGCATCTGTAATTTCAGCACTATGTCCAAGTCTTCATCTTAGTCGATTAGTTGATTCAGACTTGACGGCATGTTTCCCTTTCCGGCGTTCAATTTGGGAGACAGGCCGTGAAGAAGTTCCAAGTAATATGAGAAAAATAATATCAGATGAACTAACACACTCACCCCGCAGTGAATCTATTCCGATCGCCTTCAGGGAGGCAGGGAGCGAGGGAGGGAGGGAGGGAGGGAGGGAGGGGAGAGAGTGAGTTCATTTGCCCTCCGAAACATGACGAAATCTGACCGCCAGACGAGGGCCTTAAGACGCTCACACACACACACACACACACACACACACACGAACACACACGACAGTTCGTCCGTCGACTTCGACGATGACCACCGTGTGCCCCACAGACTGCATTGTGGGAGCAGGGACGGTGACTTGCGCAGGGGTTTATAGTGCCAGTAGACTTGCGCTGCATCTACCTACACTCTCTCCTCCTCCGCCACCTGAGCCCGGTGTCAAGACAGAGACAAGAAGACCGGAGATAATGGAGGCCGCAGGTGGATGGCTTGGACGGCTGCACGCCTTGGCGCTCCACTCCGCACCTCCTTGTCCTCTCAACAAAAGCCAGGATTTTGACCGACAACAAAGAGAGTGGAGTCTGGCACGGCCGAAGCAGCCGCACCTAGGCGTGCATAACGCACACTTGAGTTTCATGACGCCCACGCTTTTTGGCCGCTTCCCCAATGGAATTCCATCACCGCAACCACAATGCTCATATCTCCTCAATAAACTACATAGGCATCCTTCAACTCATGCGATTCACTGAGTGGACTGGGAAGAACAATCTTAGGCGCTCAAGGTACTGCGTACTGAAAATGTGCGGTTTCTTACTGGTTTAAAGACACGTATTGTTTAATGACCGAAATCATATTAATTGCGACAACGAAGGCCAAATTGATTTTACATTAATAGCACAACGTGTTTTGATTAGCCGAGCTCAGGGCAGGATTGACTTTTTTGAATAAATCTGTCGCAAGCTTATTTCGAATATGCTGCTATGAATGTTTGTGCCCGACGTAGCTCTCAAAACTGGGCAATGGAATTTGGCCATGACCAAGCGTTTACTGCATAACTATCCTTCACACCTGCCAAGTTTCCGAAGTAGTCAGATTAGGAGTTTGTCTGCCGTTCCGATCGTCCTCCCTTCTGTCTGGGAAATTGGCTAGTAAAACAATCCACAATGCTTCATGGAATTTCGACAGCATCATGTTCATTAGAATATGTATGTATGAGTAAAACAGAGGATAATCAATTATATCTGGAAATTCGAGCAACTGGCGAGCATCGAGGCCGTTTTACTGCCATGAACTTCAACCTTCTCCTCGCGCACGAACAGCTGTCTTCCAGTTGTGGACCATCACTTTCAAATTAGTAGTCATCGGATCTGCCTGCCTCTCAAAGATGTCTTTTCTAAACATCTTTCTACAGGATTTCGGCAGATTGTTGCTGCTGTTGCAGGCAGAATGGTTCTAAAGCAAAGCATACCGATGCCACCGAGAGGTTGTCTTAGGCTCTGTCCAGATGTGTAAAAGATGAGTGCGAGAGAGAATGAGTGGTAGCTTCAACGACATTCGGTATCCCTCAGCCCCCCTGCTGCGGGGACAATGTGGACATTGTCGTTCGCGCTTATCTAGGTATCAAGTCATGCCCACTACCTAGACGGTCACTTTATGCTCCAAGTCGGTTTTATTACGATACAGAACACGCAAATCATTTCAATCTTAAATGGGTTCCCGGAAAGTTAGCATGGCATTTCGTCTTCTGCTAGACAGCAATCCCCTACCAGTGTAATGCCCTCTTTCATAATATGATTAAACATCTTGCGCTGGTTTGACATGGTATTGTGAGTGTCTGATGACCCTTGTTTGGCGGTCAGATTTCGGCATGTCGCGGGACGCACCTGAGCTCTCACTTTCCCCCCCCTCCCTCCCTCCCACCCCATCCTCTAAGCGTGGGAGAATTGATTTACTGCGATCCTGTTGTGTTAAGTCGTCCAGTACTTGCTTTATATTAGCTGAGCATTTCTTGCGGTTAAGTTAAGAAGAAATCGTCCGCAAAGATGACGCTGAAATTGCAAATACATCGTGGACGACCGCCCTCCTGGCGACTGTCGCGAATGCGGACAAGCTGATTGTCCTTGGAGAATTCAATGCCCGCGACGGTACAGACAACGCTGCCCGGAAAGGAATGCTAGGTCCCCATGGTCTCCGCGGTTCAAACGACAGTGTCCTGTACCTTCTACGCAACCGCGCAGAACACCGCCTCATCCTGACAAACACGTTCTTCTGTCTGCCGGAGCGAGAGAATGCCACCTGGAGGCATTCTCGGTCGCGTCAGTGGCACCTGCTGGACTATGTTCTCGTCCGGAGGCGAGGTCAGCAGGACGTGCTGGTGACAAAGGCGATCGCGGATGCTGGCGGGTGGACCGATCATCGTCTCGTCATCGCGAAAATGCGTATTAGCCTACAGCCTCGCAGAAGACCACAAGGTAAGCCACCACCCAGATAAGTTGAATATCGCCTTGTTGTCTTTGCCCGCTCACCATTTCCATTTTAGCGACGAGCTAGCTCAACGGCTAGACAAAATTCCTGTCGCAGCCGCCACCGCCACCGCCGCTGTCGAAAGGCATATGTGGAGAACCGATGGTATCAACTGCGGGAAACAGGCCAGTGGACGATGCTTGCCGTCCTCGGTCACGCACGTCGGCCGTCTTCTACCGAATAGCCAGTGCGGCTTCTACCGTTATCGCAGGACCACGGACATGATCTTCGCCGCTCGTCAACTTCAGGAGAAGTGCCACGAGATGCGGACCCATCTGTACTCTACTTTCGTGGATCTAACGAAAGCCTTCGACACGGTCAATCGTGAAGGTCTGTGGAAGATCATGCAGAAATTCGGCTGTCCGGAGCGATTCATTCAGATGGTGTGTCAACTCCACGACGGCATGATTGCGCGTACGTCACGGACAACGGAGCTGTCTCAGAGGCATTCGCATTGACTAACAGTGTGAAACGGGGATACGTCATGGCGCCTACCCTCATCAGTCTTATGTTCTCTGACGTGCTGATGGACGTCTACCGCGACGAACGTCCCGGGATCCACATGGCCTCCAGGACGAACGGCCACCTCTTCAATCAACGCCGGATGCACTTCCAATCTCGCGTATCCACAACCACCGTTCACGAATTTCTCTTCGCCGACGACTGCGCCCTGAACACCACCACGGAAGAGGACATGCAATGGAGCATGGACCTCTTCTCGGTCGCCTGCGAGACCTTCGGTCTGGTCATCAACACGGAGAAGACGGTGGTCATGCATCAACCGCCACCAAACACAACCCCTCAGCACAATGCGCCACAGATCAGCGTGGACGGAACCCAACTGCCAGCGGTGGACAATTTCCCATACCTTGGCATTACCCTCTCCCGTAGCACGAAAATCGATGACGAAGTGGCCCGCCGGATCTCAAAGGCCAGTCAAGCATTCGGCCGCCTTCAAAGCACAGTTTGGAACCGTCACAGTCTGTAGTTCAGCTCGGAGTTGAAGATTTACAAAGCCGTCATCCTATCGACGCTGCTGTACGGAGCGGAGACCTGGGCGGTGTACACGAAACAGGCACGCCGATTCAACCACTTCCACCTCAGTTGTCTTCGTCGCATCCTGAGACTGAGTTGGCAGGATCGAATCCCCGACGCTGATGTATTGGAACGGACGGGAATCCTCAACATATACACCATGCTGAGATAACTGCAGGTGCGTTGGAGCGGCCACCTCGTGCGCATGGACGACGGGGGACTGCCCAAACGACTCTTCTATGGCGACGTCGCCACGGTTTCCCTTCGCCAACGAGGTCGAATTCGCCGATACAAGGATACGCGGAATTCCTCTCTGAAGCGTCTGCAAATTAACCCGGCCAACTGGGAAGACCTCGCCAACGACCGACCGACCTGGAGAAGAACAGTGAAGGCAGACGCCGCGATCTATAAAGACAACCGCATCGTGGCCGCCAAAATTAAACGTGAAGCACGCAAGTCCCATGTGCGCCCACCCCCATTCCCAGTGCACAACCGCCTCCAAAGTGCCCACGGTGTCAACGCACATATCGGGCACGAATTGGACTTGTTGGACACCTCCGGATCAACTGCGCATCTCGGACCGCACCAACCGGCCAACTCCGCCTCGTCCTCCTTGCCGCCAAATAAATCTGACCACTCTTCTGAGCCACCACTTCCATGCTCCTCCCTCTTCCCCTCCTCCTCC